CCACGCCCCTAATATAGAAATTTTGCATGATTAGATCCAGTAGGAAAGGAATTACCACTGAAAAAGCATTTCACCGAAGGCTTATGAGCGCTAGTCGGCCTCGACCTTGATATTACTACTTGACTCGCTTATTCTTCAACGAAAATTTCATTGACGGACAAGGCTCTCTGCTTTTATTGAAATTTTATTTAAAATCGAAGTCATGTTTTGATTTATGATTTCATCTAAACTTCGTGCTGATTGTGAGTGGTGAAAGGTTGGAGCCGCTGCCACCGACATACGTTAACGTTATCTCGGTCTCCCGCCATGATTGTTATGCCGTATGCTAGTGAAGTCTCAAAAGAACCTCAAGAACACCAAGCACTCCATTTGTCCTTTTTTTCACTTCCTCGTTTTTTCCTGACTATTTTAGCAGATCTGGATTCAGTGACCCTTAGATGTCAAGCATCGAAACAAGCTCTTCATATTGCTATTAGTTGTTTCTGGAGTCGATTTCAGGAAAATCGCTACTGTTGAATATTACTCTCCGCTATAGTTATCAAAAGTTTCACGTCTACCCTATCCCTTTCCTATCCCTTTGATCGGAGCCTTATTGATCCACTGAGGTGAAGTTCTGGTTACGATTATTTAGCCCTCAGATGTTCTCGACATGGCGCTGGCTACTTATATCTGCGACATTCCTGCTAGCCCATGCTTCGCCTGAGTTCGAGCTGAAGGATCAGGAATTCATGGTACGACTACAGCTGCTTAGCCTTATTTTTGGGAATTTTCGCTTCTCAGTATTCAATGTGTCAACGTTACTGAGAACAGGACTGAGCTTTTCTTGGTCTCATTCAGCAGTTCGATCGAACGGCTCCCGATTACGAAACGATACTAACTCCTCGCGATTTTGAACTTGGAGAACAACTGGGTAATCTACCTCATCTGAACAAGTATGACATCGATCCAGATGCCATGTACAAGAAGGATCTGTTCGAGGGAGACATCGCAAACGAAAACGCAAGTTTATATTTTTGTAAATAATATTTTTTATTTTTAGGAATAATTTTATTTTAATTCCTACCGGAATTCTGAGTAAGTCAATATTACTCAAGCTCCGAAATAGAAGGGCAATCGTGGTGTAATAATGTTTGCATGTATCTTTCTGTATTTTGTTTTTATGTGTAGATTAGTTGGCCATCGCGCATTACGGTAACGCTGTGTAACTACAGCTCAGTAAAGTCTGTTCATATGTAGCCTATGACCCTAATTGGATAAAAAATTCATTGTAAAGGTCATTTGCTGTGTAAAAACCCCAGTTACCTCTGTGTACGCCTCATTGTCGCTAGAAATCCTTCTTCTAAAAGCTTCCCCTTCCATTTTTCTATTCTCAACGTAGTCGTGGCAGAAAACTTAAGCGTTTTGCTTCGAATTCTGCCTAGGATCTTCAGTCTCCGTCCCGTTCTCTCGCCGTTTGGTTGTGCCTTGGTACCATCTTTTGTTTATTTCATCTAATCTCACTTTTGTGGAAAATCTTTTGTGCTTTGAGACCCACACTGTCGAAGGGTAAGTGAGAGCGGGCACTGTATTCGAGATGTCTCCGCCCGTCAGATGCCTACTAGTCTAACCAAAAGCGGGTTTTCCGGGAATGATGATGATCCCTTCATTTGGACCAATTCTTTCCTTTTTTTTGACCACTTGTCCACTGAAACCACTCAGTTCTAATGCATGCAACGCCAGCAGTAAGTGAAGCGAAACCTAAGTCCTTAGAACTGCTCACGAACCATACAACCCCTAATTCGCTTCAAATTGGACAGCACCTCTTCAAGTGTACGTTCATATGATGCTGGAATTCATGCTGTGCAGGTAAAAAACTTGAAGAGGTACTGTCGAATTCAGTAACCAGTGTGAAATTTTTATTGTCTAATCGTCTACATATTTTTTATTGTCTAACAAAACGAACGATACTTTTGTTGATGATGGAGAGGCTTTTTTTTGAATCCACTCAATACTATACTATTGGAATGAGTTACTTACCTTAGGAGCAAAGAGGGTCGAGTTTAAGTACGAGTTTTCTAGCTCACATGTTTATTCATATTTCGCTGGGGCCACCCTCGGAGGTTCCAATTAGACCGAGACAGCTCTAATTCACTCCCTAAGCCTTCAAACAAAGGTTGATGTTACATCTTGAAGATGGAGGGACTCCCGGGATATGAACAGATTTCGCGTCAATAAAATGCGATTCTGTATTTTGCAATTACAGGATATTTGGAAATAACAATAAGCTGAGCTCTCGGAGTGGGGTTGAATAACGCATATGTTTATGACAATTCTACATTGTTAATTTGTTATAGTTTCATTATTAGTGATTTTAGTTGAATTCATCAACTGTCGAAATGTTTCTGAATGGAGGAGTTCGTGGAGGCAAAAATGGCTGGTATAATGCCATTAAGAATCGACATCAATTATGGCCAAATGGCCGCATTCCATACACCATCAGCAGTCAATACAGCAGCTACAGGTAATCAATTCATGAGGATAAGTTCTTAGAAAGCTCTAGTTTGAGCTCGGATATGCTAATTCGAGTATTACGGGGGAATCCGATTCACTAGCTGGAAGAACGAAAGCTCTGTTTCCATCACACTTTAATTCCCATTGATGAACCTTAAAATTTGGATGTCGGTGGGTTCGCTGGGCGGACCGTCGATCGTCGCTATGAAGACAATTTCTCTTTCTGAGATTTGTTGTTTTGGCGCTTTTCTTT